CAAAGTGATGCAAAAATTGCTCCAAAAGTAGCCCACAAAACGGTACCAAAACAGTGCCAAAACCAGTTAAAGAAGGCACTCAAAATTGTGATTTATAATGCTCAAAACAATGTCAAAGTGGTGCAAAAACTGCTCCAAAACCAGCAACAATACTCGCCAAAATAGTGCCAAAATCAGCCCAAACCGACTCCTAAAGTGGCTCCAAAAAGTGCAGCAAAACAAGATCTTAAACGAACAAGCTCTTAAATAGTCCCAGAAACCGTGCATTTAAAGGATTCAAAATCAGTGTTTAAAGGCCGTCAAAACTACATTCAAACAAGTGTGCAAATCAGCACCTAAACTCTACATACATCTCTCCAAATCAGTAGGTAAACCAACCCTAAACAATGTTTAGTATGCAACAAAACAATTCTTTTGTCACACATGTAAGTATTCAAGTTCCAAGTGTGGGACATTTAAACCTATAAGAGCTGGACGGTATATGTGTATGCAACAAAAATAAGAGTTCAGGTGTTAAATATGTGCATACACAAGAATTATGCGATAGGTATGTAAATGCCCCAACTACACCCTAAACAAATCAATTGTCCTAAGGTTGACGTGACAAGCTTTGTCTCCCCCACTCCTTAAACATTTTGTTAATGGGAATGTTATTGAATGAATATATGTAAATCTTTTTTTTTTTAAATCCTTTCAGCTTGCTGCCAATCAAATGGTCAGGACTTAATTAGAATTATCATCTATTATGCCAGATAATACTCAAAACTTAGCTGCTATGGGATTTACTAAGCCTGAAATTTCATGACGTATTAAAGGAACATTTACATGCAAAGTAAACAATTCTTATGTATTTACATATTGATGCCTAAACTTCCATGTTTACATATATACCACGTTGTCTTATCAATGAGAAGACGTATTTCACATTTTAACCATTGAATTGGAGTTGCTTTTGATTCGATATAAGGAATTTGTATGAGCGTGTGACTTGATCTTGTTTTTTTTTTTAAATGAATCGATACTGGAAGTTTAAATCCTTAGATCAGATAGAAAAATAAACGAAATTCTTAAATCCATAACCACTTGGCAAGACAATATCGTTGGGAGGACTTTTGTGATCTTTAATCCAAACTTCATTTACTGACATTGCATTTCATTTAATTTTGGCGTGCTTAAATTGGTGTACAACTCAAGCAGAGAAATCATGTGATTATAAAATGCAATCAGGAATAAACAGTTGTGAAAGCATGAATCATAAGATCGCCTATAACAATGAATAATATTCAATTGTAAATCATGTAGAGCATGCCTTCTTATAAGCAAATGAATTAATTCCAGGGAAAGCACGAGTTTTTTCTGTTATTGATCACTTCAGTGGAGGGTCGATTTTTCTGTTGTTGAAACTACCATGCGAGCTTAAACCAGAGAGATGGATGACACTTATACAATTCCCAAATACAAGATCACCCCTTAAATGAATTTTAGGAATACCAAAACTATAATAAATCTTGAAGGTTTGAATCCAAGAATAAATCTAAAAGTTTGACCCTGACTTCGTCACCAAATTTTGAGACTAGGGAGTCGAACCGTGGTGCTGCTGCCGGTAGAGAAGTCGCCGACGGGGAAAAGTGGTAGAGCGGTTTGCGGTGCAGAGAGGAGAGCAGATGCGGCCAAGAGAAGGAAGGTGAAGCAGGAGCGTGCGGGTAAGGCAAGCAATTTCAGTGCGGGAGAAGGGGCAGTGAGTGGGATTTGTCGTGAGGGAGAGGCGAGCGAAGCTTCGGTACAGGGAGTATGCGAACTTCGGTGCTGGGAATAGGCGAGCGACTTTGGTGCAGAGGAGAGAGGTTCGGTGAGGGGAAGAGGAGACGAGGCAGGCGAGTCTCGAGTGGGGGTCTTTGGCACGAGAAGGAGGAGATCGCACGAGGTGGAGGCAAGGCAGGCGAAGGTTTCGGTGCAGAGGGAGAGCTCGTAATCTGGTTGTGAGGAAGGGGAGGTCGAATGCTTTCTTTTCGGTGAAGAGCGGGATCTTATATCCCGGGAATTGCAAATGAACGTTACGGGATCTTGGGCGCGGATTAATTAGTTTCCATTGATTGAGAAATCTAAATGGAAATCTAATAACACCTGATTAAAGTGAGATTGGGCAGACTTTATTTTGAAATTCAAAATTTTAAATTCAAAATTTTGCAGCACGAATCCAGCCCAAATCAAATGCGAGTTGAACCTGCGTTTAGCCCAGGACCGTGCCCCGCTAATTAAAAAAATGTGCATCGATTTTTGTGTCATTTGTGCGCGTGCGTAACCTTAGCTATATGGGTGTCCTTCCTGGCAAAAATTGATGTTCCGAACGCGTCTGCGCGATCCGTTTCGTCATCTGGGGCCGTCTAGACAAGTTCGCCGACGATCGGGCTCAAGTCAAAGTCGTGTGTGGTGCAGTGAGTGCGTGAATTGCGGCGTTTGCGAGTAATCGAGTCACAAAAGGTTCACATAAGGCCTTTGATCCTGTAGGAACTCATTTTTAGGCCCTCTATATGTTGATCCTTAGCTCTTGTAACTAAAAGTTGAGTGCTTGGAACCACTCATACGAGTTCTTCACAAAAATGAGTCAAGATGTGGTTTAAAGTTTTACGGGAGGTGGGCTCCATTTTTAGTCTGCTAAGATGGTCAACAAGGAACTCCTACGCTAGATTTTGGGTTCTGGGAGTGAGAAACTAAGATCTCACTGAAAATGAGGTCATTAGCTTACCATAACTAGTGTCTGTGATTGTAGAAGGGTTTCTACTTCATCGGTCCTCTCTCTCTACTTTAGCTCTAAATTTTTCTATAAATTAAAATCTAAAGTATGCATTACTCCGATTTTACTTTTGCTGTCATTTTATTTCCTGGGCATATCTAATATCATATTTTTTGAAGGGGAGCCTATATGTCTTGTTGTTTTGTATGAATGAATATTCTCAATTATTGGAGATGAAAAACTATGAGTTGTAAGGATATAGTTAGGAATAGCAAGAAACGTGATAATAGATACATTTAGCTTAGCTAAATTACGGTGTCTTTAATTAGTGATAAAATGAGGATATAATTAAGATAAAATTTTTGTATGTAATTACAAATAAATCTTGAAAAAGAGTTTTCTCGAACTTTTAGTTGACTTAAAATAAAAATAAATCAAAGTCCTCGAATTAAAATAAAAGGAGTTTTCATGAATTATCAAGTCATTCTTAAAAAAAAATTGAGATAGAATTTATGAAAAGGCGAGCGTTTCTTCATAGTATTTTTAAATTATTGGAAGATGCATAACAGTAAATTGGATGGTTTGTGCGGAGATAAAATAATATCAAATTTATTGAAGAAACAAAGCCTATTCCTATTTCTTGACGATCAAATGATTTTTATCAATTATCAGAGATGGAAAGCTTAGTTGTAAGGATCAGTTGTAAGGATACAGTTAGGTGGAGCCAGAATGGTGATGATAGGTACATTTGAAGTATTATGCTCCATGTCAGGGTAGAGATTACGTTTAGATAATCTATAGCTCGAGCATTATGCTCTTTATTTCTAAGATAGAGATTCTGTGGCTTGAGATTCTTTCATTAAAATTTTCTAATTTTCCTACGTGAAATTTGTTTTTTAACTTCATTTATTCTTATTTATTATTATTATTGTTGTACCTATTTATTTGTGATCATCATTATGTTATATTTTTTGTTAATAAAATATTTAGAATAAACTATTATCTTTCAAAGTAAAATCCTGTTGGGCAGCCGTTTGAGGGTCTGATTGGGATAGTTCTCTGTCTGTGTTGTGTTTCAAATCACTATCATATTTTTATTTGTGGAACTGCTTTTTTGTTGTTTTCTAAAATATTTGTGATAGAAGGGTATTTTTAACAACCAAAATTGTTAAGTGATAGTTATAAGAAAGATGTTGCCATTTATAATTTCCCTCTGCCATTTTTGTAGAAAATTGTTTCCCCAACACAATTTTAAAACCACCCTCAGAACAAACAACCGCCCCAAACAGACCTTAAATTTCGAATCTGCTGTGTCAAGTCTAGGAGATTGAGAAGTTTGAGGTTATAGAAATTCATTTCACATCAAGAAGTTGGCAAACTCATGCACGCTTGCATGACTGCACAAATCATGATTGCTACTGACTTGGGTTCAATCTGACAAGTTTCGATTACAC